AGGGTGACCCTAAAGTGAGAAGGAAGGATGATGCTGTGATTAAGGGACCTGGTTCCTGGGTCCCATTCCTGGCTCTGCCATGCCACCCTGACGAAGTCACCAAGTTTCTCAGTCTCTGTTCCCTGTCTGTCGAATGGGGGGATAATCTGGCCCTGTCTGGTCTAGTTCGATTTGGAGTTCTCGGGCACGGACTGTCCCTCATTCTGTCAGGGCAGTGCCAGCAAGCGCCAATGCTGGTCTGTGTCTCTTGTGTTCCCATAACAGAGTGAAATGTCCCATTTGTGCACATCAGGCACCCCAGGCTGGAGGCTGCACCATTCTGAGAGCCTCGGCGTTCCCGGCAAGTTTGGGGTCACGATGATGTGTCAGTTCAAACAGTATCTGAACTAGTTCGCTCCCCTCTGTGGCTCAGACCACTCACTGGGCCCCAGCGTCGGGAACCTCTCTGCTGGGATCCGAACTGGGAATGCTGAGACGTGCTGGCAGCAACTCTGCCATGGGAACACAGAGACCCTCGCTGGGGTTCCCGTCCCTGGCAGTCTGGTCTTGGGGTTGTGCAGTCACCAGGAATCCACTTGAGTGTCTCCAGGGAAAGCATCTGAACAAGCAGGGGGATCCCTTGTGTATCGGTTAGCTCCCCAATGCACATTTCCTGTCTCTGCTCACAGAGGTACAATGCTGGCTCCCATCAGTCCCAGAGTTAGACAAACCACAGGGGGAACCCCCCTGCCCACTGAACTCTGAACCAGGGCACAGGGCTGGGGGATTTGTTCGGAACAGGGTTCCTCCCAGAAGCTTGCCCAAGCAGGTTCCTCAGCCCTGAGCTGGCTGCTCTGCATTCCTTCTCCTCAAACAGGACACACGCAGGACTGAACAGCAATTTGTCTTTCTGTGCCAGACCCAGATAATCAAGAACAAGTGAAGCCCAGCTGAAGCACTGTCTCACGGGGAGGTTATCAGAGAGGAAGCAGCCTCCCTGGTGAACATTTTCTTTGCTCCTTGGAAAGCAGTCAAGACTTTTTTACATTGCTGGGAGTTTGCCAGATAGTTTATTAATCTAAAGCAAAATAAACTGGAAGGTGACCGAGAATTTTAAATGAGCTTCACACTGGCCTCTCAATTTGTAGGTGCGATATTTCACACCAGAGGTTTTGCACATGTAAATCCTCAGCTTTGTGCATGCAAATGGAGCAGCGAGGCAGCTAACTACCCAATTTGTACATGCAAATAAAATTTGCAACAACACAGAATAAAATCACCCTCCTCAATATTAATCCCCCTATATCATCCCCTTGTAATTAGACCATTGTTCCTAAACTCCTTGTTGAGCGTAGCATCTGTCTAATATAGAATGTAAATTCAATGGGGCAGGGACTGCGCACCCTCTGCTTTGGACAGCATTGTCCCAAATACCAAGTAAAAATGACAAATCCATATTTCTGTGTGCACCAAAACCAGGGTGTTAAAAAGTCATGCATGTGAGAACTCAAGCTTCAAAATCCCAATTGTGGCAGCTGTGTTTGGAAATTTGGCCTGGAGAGAACAAGGATGAGGCACAAAGATTGTGGGTTTTGGGGGTGGGGGAGTGGAGTTGTTTGTTTTTAAAAAAATGTAATGGAGGGTGAATTTGCTTTTCATTTGTGCACGTTCTGGGGTGTGAGCGATTCAGCTGTAGCAGAACAATGGCCCGTTCTGCGGGGAATTATCTCATGCGGGCACCAAACCAAGAGCCTTCTCAGTTACTTTAATGAAGACAGAAAGAACAGGGGGGTGGGTCAGGAGGGGAATTAAAACAACCTTTCCCTTTTCTGTCTTAAGCAGAGCCCATGCTGGCACTGGTTCTGTTCCAGTTACGTGGGTGCACGCATAGTCCCCTCTTTGCTCCCCATCCATGGAACGTGCTGGTTCTCACGTGGAGCCGGAGCTCTCGTGGAAGGAGTGACACAGTGAGGACCAGCAGAGCTCCATACACACACAGGCCAGAGGTGCGGCCCCATGTGCACTGGAGAGAGAGTGGAGGAGTTCCCTTGGAGTGAGCAGAGCTGTGTGCCTGAGAATCTGGCCCAGATACTTGGGTAACACTGGGGAAGGACACAGCTGTCCAGGAGTTTGGTACATGGTGAGATGAGGCAGGAGCTCTGACAAGATGTTGCTTTCAGCAGGCTGGATTATTTAGTATCCCTTTTAAAGCTATTTCTTTGCCCTTCCCTTGCAACTTCTGTTCCAGGATCTCAAAGCACTTTACAAACGTTCATGCTTTAAGCCCCTCTGTGAAGCAGTTCCTGTCACTCCTCTCTCTGACAGACAGGGAAACTGAAGTGGGAATGTGACTTGGCCCACATCTCATCGGAAGCTTGCAGCAGTGGCAGGAATAGAGCCCAAGTCTCTTGACGCCCACTACTGTGCTTTAATCTCGGACCATTCCCCACCTCCCTCCTGTCTCTGAGTAGGTCCCCATTATTACACTGTGGGGTGCACTAACAGATCTGCTGTAGCTGACAGTACCTGGGCATCCCAGTGACTGCTATGCACCATGCTCACCTGCCGGGCTGAGGCTGAGTCCCTGGGAACGATCGCACCATTCTGTTAGCAAGCATGCATTGCTGTCTTCCGTCACGGGGATGCTGGGGCCGTGCACCCCAGGTACACCCCAGCTTTAGCCTGCGACCTTGCTTGCTTGTAAGTAGAGGTCCCTATTCAATGGGTGGCTGCCCATAACTGGGGTCCCTTATAAAAGTTCTGAGCCGTGCTGTTGAGATACAAATTAGTCCAGTCCCTGAAGTTCCAGCTGCCCTTTCCATCTCTGCTAGAGTCAACAAATGCGCTTGTGTAGTTATTTTGCTGTTGGGGGGGGAACCTACCCCCTTTCAGCTCTCATTAGCAAATCTATGGCAGCAGCTCTCCTGCCCAAGTCATTTGCCAGGCAAGGCGAGTGGTTTCCATTTTCAGGGCCTGCTTTCACAGCACCTTTCCCAGCCAGGGGCCACCTGGGCTCGCACCCCAGTGTGGAACACATCAGCTAGGGAGGCCCCAGGAATAGGACCATGGATCAGATACTGAAATGTGGTGGCTACGTATTCTCTGCTGCGCACGCCAGGAGCACTGCCATCCTGAGGCCTCACGGGCTGCAGATGCGTAAGGCAGGCCCTGTGAGCAAACTTCCAGGCTTTATCATCTGCCTGAGAATCATACAATCTGCGTCCTGTGCTCGAAGCAGGGGGGCAAGTTCCTACTGTATGAACCTGCAGGGAGGTTTCAATTGTATCAATTTCTGCAAGCCCTGAATTCAGATGCGGTTTGTCTTTGTCCAGGTGTTTATTCACCTTCTCACTGTGCTGCTGAATGTGCCAACCTGTCCTTCCTGAGCTTGTGCCAGCTGCTTGGGGCAATCCCTGGGGCATGGACTTCCTCTTTTTGAAGAAATAAACTTTCCTTTCGGCAGCTGGCACAAGGTGCTACTAGGGGGTCCCAAGACACGTGGATGTGGGAGCCCTGTCCTAACTGGATTCAGGAAACAATCCTGTAGGATACTCCAGCCTGTGCTGGCATCAGGGAATGTCACTGCAGCTACACCGACAGGAGTGGGCAGGAGGTATATTCATGGGAGCTTGAAACATTCCCTTTGGGTTTTCCTCAGCTGAGATACATGAGAAACAAACGCTGGCCCTGCAGACATGCGGCTGAGGGCAGAAGTGTTGCGGAAGCCCGTTCTGCCAGGAGCTCCGTGGAACTTCAGTAAACATGTGGGAACCATTGAGTGGAACAAGTATGCTACAAGTGACCCTTCCAAGCCGGAACAAACCCTGCTAACCTCACAGGCCTCTCGGATGGCGCGGTCTTGGGGGGGGGGGGGGGATATTGTTTAGAAATTCTGCTGAGGACGGGTTGGCTGGGGACCTGGGTTCAAGTGTGGCTTGGGTCATGAGTGAGCATGAATGAGCCAGTTTGGAAACTCGACAAACCCTTCCACATTTCTAGAGCTGAACTGAAGCTGAGCCAGTCCTGACATGTCTGGGTAAGCGTCTAGCCAGCGACTGGAAATGACAGACTATCCCAAGGGAGCCCATTCTTGGGAGACCCCCGCCAGCCCAGCTCTGCAGATGCGAGACATTTGGAGAATTGAACAACCAAACGTTTGGGAGCTCATCTGGACTACGCCCAGGCTCTGAATCTTTGGGGATTCAGCCGCTGCTGGTCTCAAATGCCATGGGATTGTTGTAACAAAAACACTGCAAAACAATTCTGTGCAAGTTAAAAGCAAATACATTAAACCCTTAAACGTATGGACCCGAGCTTAGCAGGGCAAAGAACATTCACGGTCATTTTAGCTATACGTACAGCACCCGGGACTCTCCCAGTTGGTGTATGTGACACTGTGGCTGTCCTTGATGTCCCCCAGTGTGGCGTGGTAGGGGGAGGGATGCGGCCCCTTGACTTGACCCTCGTGCGAGTGGGGGACAGTTCTCAAGCCATGACATCCCCCTCGAGCCAGCTCAGCTCCTAGCCCCGGGAGCAGCTCCCCTCTGAACCCACCAGGCAAAGTAGTCAGAGCTTCGTTAGTCTCTCCCTGCAGGGCAGGTTTTCAGACCTTCCTGGCACATGTAACCGCCCTGTGATAGATGGGCCACCAACAAGCTGTCTGTGCGGGAGCGGGGTTGCCAGGATTAGAGAGTGGGGTGCTGGGAAGCACTCTTGGGGCTGATAGGGGGTGAGGCCGACTGTTCTCCAAGCTCTGCCAGGGAAAGTGAGTCTGCCGAGAATGGCAGGAAGGAGGCGAGGCCAAGCAGCCGCCGAAGATAAACGGAAAGCCCCAGCCTCCCTGGCCTGGGCTGGGGGCTGACACACATTCTTGTGACCTAATTATCTCCTCTGAGAGAGCTGGATTCCAAAGGACAAAGCATCTTCAAAGAGGGCTGGGACGTGTTCCAAAGCCCCGCGGGGGGCGGAGAGGAGCTGGGGGGCGAGGCAGGGGAAAGGGGAGGGTTTAAAATAATAATAATAATAATAAAACTTTCCTGCAGTTGTCAGGAGAACATGGGCCAGAGATATAGGAAGCAATCGAGGGCCTTTATCGTGGAAACACAGGCTCTGGGAGCAGGATTCCTGGCCAGCCGCGCGCCCAGCCTTGGAGCTGTCAGACGCCACATGTCAGCAGCAGCAGCCGCCGTGCAGGGGGAGGACTGAGTGTCCCACACCAGGCAGCACAGAAGCAGAGAAACGTGCGTGCGTGTGAAGTTCAAACCAGACCCTTTCCGCTGGGTAGGAATAAGCCCCCTGGAAGGCGAGGATGGGAGCCGGGGGAGCCCTGCTGTGGTTACTGGGGGCTGCATGGGCTGCGATGGCTCCGGGACTTGGTTCCCACCTGAAAGGGAAGGACAGCCTTGACAGACCTCAGCACCAGGTGCAGCATGGGCCCTGCAGCTACACCTTCCTGCTCCCAGAGCTTGGGGGCTGTTACCCCTCCGCTGCCGAATACCAGGTCTCCAACTCACTGCAGAGAGATGCTCCTTCCGCGCCTGAGCCCAAGTGGCCAGCCAAGCGGCTCCAACAACTGGAGAACATCATGGAAAACAACACACAGTGGCTGCAGAAGGTAAGATCCAGTCAGGGCCCGTTTGGATCGCAGTGGTTCTTGTACAGATTGCAGCAGTGCCTTCAGCATGCCAGTCCCTTTCCAAACGCAGGGCTTGGCCTGCGAACATGCAGCGTTGCCAACCTCCCTCTGGGACCGGAGAGTCAATGGGGGCTCCCTCTGCCCCTTGCATCAAGGGGCGGCCTCTTGCAGCTTGCTACCTTTCTGCCGCTGGGCACGAGCCAGGTGAGGACCCAGCTCGCTCTCCCCTAGCAGTGTTGCCGCTTCAGCATCAAAAGCTTCTTTGCACAGTAATGTGGGTGGATGTGACTCCAGGCTGCACGGTCACTTTTCTGACCATAACCATGTGGCGCTGGCTTCCTCGAGAGCATCTGGTCAAAGTCTGTGCCTGGGAACTGCTGTATAATTACTTTGTTAAAGGGACCAAACAGGCTTCTCACCTTGATCCAGACAGTCTCAGCATTACTGCAAGTAAGTTACCCCTATAGATGAGGAAAACAGTACAAGGGCTTGGATCATTTAAATGGGCAACTTATTTATTGATCCTGGGAACCTATCATCTCTCCTAATATTTAAATACCCCTTTAAAACTCTCTACTAGCCCCCTCCTGAGTGTGACATGCTTTCTGTCTCTGTTATCAGACATGTGTTCTGCTACTTGGCTGTGCCGAATGTTCCTTTACCAGCAGAGCCGCCGCAGAAAAATTCTTTTTCTGTTTTTCTTTCCAGTTATTTTAAAACACAGGAAATCAAACTCACTTGGGGTCATGGGTCTCTCCTTCATGAGCCGAGAGTTTGAGAGTGACTCTGGTACCGGTTACACGGGTGTAAATCAGGAATAACTCCACTTATACCAATGAACTGACACTGAAGTGAAACCAGTTTAGAAGCAATTTCAGAATCGAGCAGCATGGGTGAAATCCTGACCCCGTTGTCACTAGGAGTTCTGCCACTGACTTTTCTGCTGCCAAGATTTCACCCTGTGCCTGCAGGATATATTGGGCTCCTTCCTAAACTATAAATACCAATTGCTGCTTAGCATACAGATACCAGTCAGGCAGTAAAGGGGTTGTTTCCTTCCTCTTTGTTCCCAGGCTGCTATCAGGAGCATGTGTCTAATTCAGACTATATTACATCTCCTTCCAAAGACAATCTACCATAGGGTAGAACAAACTTCTTTACACTCTACCAAAGCAATAAGCAAATATTTGCACTAGGGGAGAATTTAGTTAAAAATAAATCCCCTCAAATAAAAAACCCATCAGCTCCAAGGCTGAGGGAATGTGAGCAGTGCAGGGGAACGTGTCTGAAAGTGATTAATACCCAGCATCACAACGCCCTTGTGTTAATACATATCCCTGTCCACTCACTGGGACTACACGTAGTGCAGCATTGAGAGCAACGCTGCTTGCTGTGCAGGGGTCTCTGGATGAGACCTTAGCTCCCAAGGTCCTTCCCGCTCAGCATGGGCTCTAAGGATTCCACGGGACGCTGCTGGCAGAGTTGGGGATTTTCCCCAGAATCCTCAGCTGTGTTGCTTCTGTCCTGTCCGGGGACAGTTGTGGCTTCCTCCGGAGTGGTGGCTGAATTTCCGTGGTGCTGTGTTGTTTGGGGACCTGTTGAAAGACAAGGGGCTGCAGCAACGTAACCTATGGCATTCTTGTGATTGTGCCATACGGAGGCACGGTCTGGGAAGCTGCTGCAGCTGACCCAGACTCTGGGCAGGCATAAAGCATGTGTCTGGGATGAGGCACCAGGTTTTGTCTCTCGGAACTGGGGGGATTTAGTTGTCAGTGCCACTAAACCTGCTCTGCATGGAAAAGTCCCCTTCTGTCTGCCAGCATGTTACAGGCTCTCGAGGCTGCTGCCCTCCCACGGGCTCAGGTCTCGATAGCAGCTTCTGCTTTTACAAACATGCCACACACTGAATGCACTGGGAGGGCAGGCTGAACAGAGCCTGGTCTGGGTGGGAGAGGGTGCTCCCCAAACTGCCCTGGCCCTCCCGCCCTGCAGGGATTAAGTGGAGATGCACAGACTGTTAGGAAGTGGCCTGGAAAACGTTCTCCTCAGCTGTTTCCTTTCCCTGGACACCAAGACGTGTGTTTATTGCCCAAGAAGCCATGAATCATGTTGTCTAGGGTGGAAGGTAAACAGTGCTGACATGGTCCCCTGCTGCGCAGGACCCAGCGCTACGAGCAAAGCCGGGGTGCTGCTCCCAGGCCCTCTTGTTTTCAACACTGCTGGGATCGAGACACAGTTCTTCAGGCAAACTTATCGGGGAAGCAGGATTCTTCCGTGGCCAACTGGGAGCGCAGGGAGCCCAGCCAGAGGCGCTCTGCCACCCTGTAGCCCGGGGCACTGGTTGCTGGGAAAGGAGACACAGTCTGGTTAATTGTAAAGCCTTAACGCTGGTGGCTGAGCGAGGGGCAATGGGAGGGAACAGCAAAGAGGAATGCCAGGGGCTCACTGGCTGCTCCGTACTGGGCCTCTCTCTGGTTGCTCGGACTCCGCTCGTATAGCTGTGGTGGTCACCTGGAGCAAGATATGCTGGGCGGGGTGCTTCATCGCCTGCTAAAGACCCACCGTGGCTGGGACCTCTCCTTGAGAAGGCAGGTGCTGATGTTAGGGCCGGTCTCTCACCCTGGGCGCTGAGCTGGATCCGGCCCTGTCAGCTGCACACCAGAGGGAAAGCAGCAGCGAAAGCCCGGGTGTCTTGTGTGGCCCACTCAGAAGTTCCCCTGCACCGAATTGCCAGCACGGCTGCCCTTGGCTTCCCGTCCAAACAGTGACCCGGTGAGAACCTGCTTCCGCTTCACGCCCAGGATGACTGCAAGCTGGGGGCGGGCGGAGGGGAGCAGCATTAGGGCCCAGCTGATCCAATGTGTGAGGACTGGTGCCAGTTTCCCCTGACAGGACCTGCTGCTGTGCTTTGTGACCTGCCCATGGAATGTGGGCGCCACCCTGGGCGTACCGGGCGAGGGGCAGCCTGGGGGCTCTCGGGCTCTCTGACAGCCACTAGACACTGCAGCGTATACAAAATAGAACTGGCCAGTTCTGAGCCTTAGGAAAAAGCATCATCAATCTCGCCAGGAGGGTCTGGGGGGGGGAATCTTTGCAAGGAAGAGCCGACAGCCTAGTGCCCCCCCAAAATCTCCCATTAGCGGCCTTAAGAGTTTAGCAAGGTAGATGCCTCCCTCCCAACCTCATACCGAGCATGGTCTAGGCCCGTAGGAGAGAGGGCTCCCTACCTCCAGGAGGCGATGATGGAGGGGCTGGTGGGTACAGCGGTGGATTGGGACTCTGGGGACCTGGGTTCGCTTGCTGGCTCTGCTTCAGGCTTCCTCTGTGACCTCAAGCAAATCGCTGAATCTCTCACCTCAGTGGCCCATCTGCAAAGTGGGGATAGCTAACCGGTCCGTCCCGAGAGCTCCTCGGGGCAGGGGCTGGCTCTCACTGGTGTATATACGGCACTCAGCACAATGGGGCTCCCGGCACTGCCAAAATAATGCTGTGCCTGCCCAGAGAAGGGCGTGATAGGTTTTGTGCAAGGAGCCCAGGTTTGAAAATCAGGCGTCTTAGAAACGCAGGTGGGGGTGGGGTTCCTTCTGCAAGTCAAAAAAGGCCTGGCAGAATTGTCTGTCACTCAGCTGTGGAGAGCCGCGCCATGCTTGGTGCCAGGCTCATGCCCCTGGTGCTGCCACATGGGAACCGGCAGGCTAGTTCTGTCAGGTGAGGTAGGAACCTCTGGTCAAGAACAAAGGGACGGGGGATTTTACAGCTCATGCTGGCGCTGCCCGCACCGCTGTATTGTGAATGAGTCTGCTTGGTCATCACTCACTCACAAGAACGAAGGTTTTCTGACTGACCTGGGTTCTGTTCTTAGCTCTGCTACTGACTCAGCCCATGACCTTGGCCAAGTCCCTCAGCTGTGAAAGATGACCCTGCCGAGTTACAGTATTGAGCAGGCCGGAACAAGCCAGCTTTAACTTCATGTCGCCTGGTCCTGGCCAGGTGACCCCATGTTAACCATGACAGCCTGTACCTCAGGTGTCTCCTCCATTGACAGGGATCGTGACCTGGGCTCAATTCACTAACATCTGCAAAGTGCTTTCAGATCCTCCAGTGGACAGGGCCTGGTATTACTGCCAGACACCCAGCTTCCTGTTTATAATCTGTTTTATTGCTGAGACCCCCCGGGCAACTCTCCCCAAACAGCCCCCACCCTGCAACTGCTTCCGGCTGTGAATCAGCCACCAGCACTCCAGGAATGGAATGTGAGAGGCCGCCTTGGGCCCGCTGTTATGGGATATGTTCCTAGAAAGAATGGCAGGGGAACCCCGTCAGACAACGCTTTCCAGCCATTGGGGCTTAGAAGTTGTCAAATCAGGGTGGTACCACTGGAATTAAGTCCATGCTTTTTATTGACCGGTGCCCATTTCGGGGGGCCATTATAAACCCCACCCCCTTGTCGACAATCAGCTGGAATCCAGCCGGAGGCTTTTTGATTTACGTTGCAATTTTGCAGGAAAACCCTGATCCGAAGCAGCGGTTCCTGGCTGCTCAGGACCAAAACCCAGGGAGAGTTTTGCCCTTTCAGGATAGTCTTGGTGGGTACGCGTAACATCAAAGAGACCCAGATTTTAAAATAAAAGGGCATTTGCTGAGTAATAGGCCTTGTGCCAGGGACATGGCAACCCGTTGGGGGAGGGGAATGATCATGGAGCCTCCTGGCGCATTTGCAGCTGAATGAGCCTGGCTTTGCCTGAGCAGCGCGGTCTTGTGTCGGAGCAGTCTGGGAAGGACGGGGCGCGGCTAAGAGACTGGCCTGGGCCTCAGGGGCTTCAGTCTCAGTTCTTGGCTCTGCCAGATGGTCTGTGGGAGCCTGGTGAAGTCAGTTCTGTGCCCTTCTCCCCTTTGTCTTGTCTAGTGACACTGTGAGCCACGGCCTGTCTCTTGCTAAATGCACGTGCAGTACGCACTGCCGAGGGGCCCCGGACTCAGGTGGGACTTCTGGGCACAAGTAAGAGGACTGAGGATTCAGTGGGACAAGCAGTCCCTGCAATCAGCCCCAGCGTACTGCCTGCCCAAGGCCGATTTTAAATGTGCCTCACTCTTCAATTCCCCTAGAGATTCAGTATCATCCCAGTTTCCAATGGGTGTTTCTGGCCTGGTTCCTAGCCCGCTCTCAGGGACTTCTAGTTCCCTAATAAAAGACAACAGGACACTAAATACCAGCAGATGCTCTTTAAACAGCAGCAAAGGGCCAGGTCCTGCAGACATGCCCTGCTGGGAGGTGGTGTTTTACTACCATGAGCCTCAGGGCTTGGGCTATAGAGAGATGTTGCTGTTCTCTTAGAGACATCATTAAACTGAGCTGCCCATCTCTGATAACTGCCCCAGCAGGAGGCAAGGATCTGGGGGTCTGGGCCAGCAGCCTCTCTCCAGAACAGGAGATAAAATAGCTGAGCCATCGGGAGGTACAGCGTAGCTGGTGCAACGGGGGTGACTGTCAGAGCTGCTGCATACCCAGGATCAGTGTCTTTCTGGGCTAGGAAAAGTGCCTTGAAAACCTGCTCCCATCCTGCTTTGGTGTGAGAGAGGGACTCACGTTCATCCAGACCTGAGAATGTTGGAGGCTCTCCCAGAGTTGCCGGGAATCCATCAGCGTTTATTAATTCCCCCACACCTTTTTTTTTTTTAATTTTCTTTTTAAAATCTCTCTCCAAGTGAAACAAGTCACTGCAAAGCTGGGCCCGTCCTGCGTCACTTGAGGATGGGCTCCATGACACAGTCGAAGGATTAAATAAGTCCTTGTTTACATCTGCATAACAGACGAAAGCAAAGCGATGTGGTGAAATGGGCCACTGGTACAGACACACCCCAGATAGATGGTCCCTGCCCCAGGGAGCTCCCAGTCCAGTGAGGAAGTCTGCGTACTGACATGGGAGGCACCGTTTGAGCCCCTGCTCCGGAGCAGCGTGGCCCGTGCGCTCTCGGCTCGGACATGCGAAGAGGAGCCAAGCGCTGGCTGGTCGGGGGTTCCATTCCTCATGCCCCCATTACAATGGGAGGAAGTTTGGCAAATGCCCCTGGGGAGGATCGTGTTTGTACATGGGCAGGGAACATCATCTGCATAAACAGTGTGGAGAGCAATATTTATGCAGCGAGGCGGCCCTGAGAGCGAAACACACTCTGCCCCCTTGCCACAGGCTTTGGGGGCAGGGGGTCAGTTACAAAACAATAGGCAGAAAGAAGCAAGTGGGGCTTGGTTCTCACGGTCCCAGACTCTCACTCGTTTACCACTCGTCCCCTCCAGCGCAAGGAGGGTACGGAGGGAGAACTGTCTAGTGGTTAGAGCACAACCCATTCCCAGCTCTGCCAGGCCCTGGGGGAGCGTAACTGCAGGCAACCCCACTGCATGTCTCTGTACCTGTCTCCTCGTCTGGAAAACTGGGGGGATCAGTAGCACTGCCTTGCCTTTCCGGGGGCGGGGGGTGAGGTTTAACCAAAGTGTGCGGAGCAGCTCAGACATGGGAGGCTAATATACGTGCTGCTGGCTAATATTATTAACCTGAGAACCTGGCTCTGAGGCGTGTTTTCTGGAGTGCATGTTGCATGTTTCACAGAAGGCAGGTGCCTAAATATCACGATGGTGGATGCACAGACGGACGGACGGACAGATGGCAGTATGTGCCGGGGGTTGGATGGATGGACGGATAGATACAGAAGTGTGATTGGGGCTAGGTAGAGGAGTGTGCAGGGGTGGTCTGGCTGGCTAGGTAGAGGAACATATAGGGGGATGCATAGATAGATGGATAGGTAGGTAAGTAGGCATGCAGCCAAGTCAGCACACCAAGCTAACCTTCTTACAGCTACAGCATGGCTTTTATCTACCAGTGTCACACTGTTACCTATTGTCGGCGCATTGTGTAACCCCCGCAGTTCCAGTCCCACTGCTGAGGGAAGTGGTCATTTCCCACATAACCCCTTCTTTGCCTGTTTTTTGTTCCCAGCTGGAGAGCTACATCCAGGAGAATGTGAAAATGGAGCTTGCTGAGATCCAGTTCCACACGGTGCAGAACCACACAGCTGCCATACTGGAGATCGGGAGCAGCCTCCTGAGCCAGACGGCTGAGCAGACCCGCAAGCTCACTGACGTGGAGACGCAGGTAACAGCTGGCTGGGCTGTCTCCCGAGCCATCCCCCAGGTGCTGAACCCCGGAGTCCTCGCGTGTGACTCCACGGACTGGAACGAGATTGCATTCGTTTACACCAGGGCTGGATTTGGTCCCCTGCTCATGGCAGAGAATGTTCCACTGCATCTCACTAGTCTCCCTGCACGGTGATTTGTATATTTTGCTGGTGAAGCACAGGGGAATTCGATGCCACCGCCAGTGAAGACACCTAAATGACAAGTGCACCACTGACGCTGCTGTGATTTCAAACAGCTTCTCCCTGATCCCCAAAGTTTTCGACGGTGTGCTCCAGCTTTCAGAGGACCGAGGCTGGACACTTCAGAATTGCTCAGCACGTTGCATGCATGTTGGATCCTGGGCTCTTGTGAAAATCTGGCCTTTGGCTTTGGTGCCTACATGGAAGCTGAGTGTGCTGGGAAATCCACAGAGCCCTGCAAATCTGTGGCTGTCTGCTTCATATCCGTGGATATCCACGGACCATGTTTGCGGATCGGATGCAGATGCAAATTTTGTATCCGCGCAGGGCTCTAGAAATCCAGCTCTGACAGTGGGAGCTGAGCCCTTGAAAATCTGCCCCCAACTGCACTGAGGGCTCTACCGGGATAGGAAACCTAATCCCCAGTCTTCCTCCCCACCCAAACTTAGGCCAAAATCCATGTCCCCATGCAGGCTGCTCCTCCTGCTGCTGGGCTTCGGAGAGTGTTTCCCAAACCCACATCGCCTCAGATCCCATCCCTTCCTGACCATCCCACTCTGGTTCCTTTTCCCCCACCCAGGTTCTCAATCAGACCTCAAGGCTGGAGATCCAGTTGCTGGAGAACTCTCTGTCCACTAACAAGCTGGAGAAACAGCTGCTGCTGCAGACCCAGGAAATAAACAAGCTCCAGGAGAAGAACAGGTAAAAAACCCTTCTCTGGGTAGGGCTGTGACCACGCGGGGATCTGACTATCTCTGCCACACAAAATAGAAACAGGAGAACCCAGCGTGGTCTGGGACTTAGCAGCGTTTCTAGGGCCAGATCCCCAGCTGGTGTAAAGCCACACCGCTCTAATGACTTCACCTTCCAGGTGAGGATCTGGCCCATAGGACTTGACAAAAGTTTGGGGTTTCAGGGAATTCTTTGGCATTACATGAAACATTTCCGCCTTTCATTTCAAATATTTTTCATGGCAGATTCAGTAAAATCTCATTTTAAACCCCTATATTGCTAATTAACTGGTGGCCTGTGTTGTGAGCATAATAAAGACTCCTGTTTGGTTGAAATTCTTGCTCTGGCTCGCAGAACAACCAGGGGATGGGAATAAAATACAAAAGTCAGTGCAGCTCACAGGAACTTCTGTTTTGCAAAATGGATCCCAAACTCCAGAGCTTTGGAGTTCTCTTCTTGCCCAGAACCTACATTTCCAGAATGGTTCTAAGCGTCTCCAGGCAAGCGCCCTGCTCCCTTTCCTGGAATGCGGCGTAGGGAGGTGGGCGACTGTGTCTGATACTCAGGCAGCTGCTGCCTGCACTGACTGTAAATAAACATGCAGTGTAGACGTAGCCCTGTTGGTCCCAGGATATTGGAGAGACAAGGTGGGTGAGGGAATGTCTTTTATTGGACCAACTGCTCTTGGTGAGACAGACAAGCTTATTACAACAATCTGTGACCCCATGTCACGGAGTCCCTGGGCGATGCTCTGGAACTGCTCCCCATGAAGCCAGTCAGGACTCTGGGGTAGTCGCCTTTCTGTGAGCAGCCTGTCTTCAGGACACGCAGCTCACACAGCTTCCACCTTCCTGGGTCTGACCTCGGAGCATTCAGCATCCTCTGCCTCTCCGTGTGCTTCCCCCAGCGAGTCCGCTCAGGCGGTGCTCCTGGGGAAGCCAGAGGGTCCTGCACCCCAACCTCGCAGTCAGACGTGACTCTCAGCCAGCCAGTAAAACAGAAGGTTTATTAGACGACAGGAACATGGTCTAAAACAGAGCTTGCAGGTGCAGAGAACGGGACCCCTCAGCTGGGTCCATTCTGGGGGGCAGTGAGCCAGATAACCACGTCTGCACTTCACTCCATGTCCCAGCCAGCCCCAAACTGAAAACCCCCTCCAGCCCCTCCTCCTCTGGGCTTTGTTCCTTTCCCGGGCCAGGTGGTCACCTGATTCCTTTGTTCTCCAACCCTTCAGCTCTCACCTTGCAGGGGGGGAAGGGCCCAGGCCATTAGTTGCCAGGAAACAGGGTGTCGGCCATTCTCTGTGTCCAGACTCCTGCACACACATGCCCTCTAGGGCTCTGCAATGATCATACACCCTTACCCCACCCCCTAGATACTAAGAACTGCCTAGGGGAAACTGAGGCACCCCCACACTATTCAGAGGAAACATTAAGAACAGTCCCACTTCGTCACATCTCTCCCCCTTCGAGATCGAACTGAGCGGGGTCACTTTAGCCGGTGACCTGGGGAAGTTTGAAGCCACCAACGTTCCCATGGATGCCCCAGCATCTCTCCCATTCCTTGGTAGGAGTTACACCAGGCCCTTCCAGTTTCACGCCCTCCCTTAGGTCAGGGGTGTTCGATAGCACTCGCAGGCCGCATGTGGGAAGGTTTATGCAGCCCATGCCCTTTGGCCACCCCAAGAATGTCTCCCCATTGACCATCACCTTCTGCTCCCACTGGAGGTCCGAGGGGCCTGGCCCCAGGAAACTCCACACAGACATATAGGTTGGGGTCAGGAGTGGGAGCCTGTCCACATCCCCAACCATCTGGCTGACGGAGTCTATGGCCTTGGGACCCAGCAAGGGAGCTAGACACCGGGGCTTTTCCGCAGGGTCCCCTTGGTTCAAATCGCCAGCCTGCTCAAAGGCAGTGAGGTGGGCATCCACACCCCCCCCTCCTTAACCAGGGGCAGCAATTTAGTCTTGAGGTTCCCTGCAGAACTGGCCCCCCGGGGTCTATCCCCACTTACCCCGGGGGAGGTCCCCTAGGCCTCTCCGCTCCCCCACCGCCAGTTCATGCTGCTGCTGCTTCTGCAGCTCTTTCTCGGGCTCTCGCTGTCTCCCACGGTCCTCTTGCTCTCTCAGACTCAGCTCCAATCCCGTCCGTCTCGATCCCCCGATGGGGAACCCGATCGTGAAGACCCTCGTCTGGTCGGGGACAGGAGTCTTGGCGATGCCTGGCTCCCGCTTCAGCTGCTCCCAGATCCTGCTATAGCCCCAGTTGGGGTCAGGAATCTGTTCCTTAGAGCGGTCATCCTCCTCCAGCTGCACGATTAACTCTGCTTTGGTGAACTTTCCAATGCTCAACCCTCTCTTTTTGCACAGGGTTACAATGTCCTTCTTAAGGAGACGGTGACAGGCCATCACTCCGCTCCTCCCAAGTTGTTGTGGACTCACAGGCCCGTGTGTTCTCAGCTCCCCACGGTTTCCAGGGAGAACCCCTAGTGTGCCAGCCCTTCTCGAGGTTACCACCTCTTTGCCAGGGTCGAGCTGCAGACTCCTCCGCCCCTTGGACTGCTCGCTGCAATCCCCAGGGGAACCCTGTTACTGCACAGTCCTTCTCGCTGGTCACACACTCCCAGGGGTTAACCGCCCCCGAAACCGCTCCTCTCTGAGCCTTCAGCAGGCCTGGTCCTCGCAATCCCCCTTCGTGTTACTGCTCCCCAGTCACTTACTGCAGGAAGCGCCATCCACGGGGTGCAGTACATCCCACCGCTGCCACCAGTTGTCACGGAGTCCCTGGGCGATGCTCTGGAACTGCTCCCCATGAAGCCAGTCAGGACTCTGGGGTAGTCGCCTTTCTGTGAGCAGCCTGTCTTCAGGACACCAGCTCACACAGCTTCCACCTTCCTGGGTCTGACCTCGAGCATTCAGCATCCTCTGCCTCTCCTGTGCTTCCCCCAGCGAGTCCGCTCAGGCGGTGCTCCTGGGGAAGCCAGAGGGTCCCTGCACCCCAACTTCGCAGTCAGACGTGACTCTCAGCCAGCCAGTAAAACAGAAGGTTTATTAGACGAAGGAACATGGTCTAAAACAGAGCTTGCAGGTGCAGAGAACGGGACCCCTCAGCTGGGTCCATTCTGGGGGCAGTGAGCCAGATAACCACGTCTGCACTTCACTCCATGTCCCAGCCAGCCCCAAACTGAAAACCCCCTCCAGCCCCTCCTCCTCTGGGCTTTGTTCCTTTCCCGGGCCAGGTGGTCACCTGATTCCTTTGTTCTCCAACCCTTCAGCTCTCACCTTGCAGGGGGAAGGGCCCAGGCCATTAGTTGCCAGGAAACAGGGTGTCGGCCATTCTCTGTGTCCAGACTCCTGACACACATGCCCTCTAGGGCTCTGCAATGATCATACACCCTTACCCCACCCCCTAGATACTTAAGAACTGCCTAGGGGAAACTGAGGAACCCCCACACTATTCAGAGGAAACATTAAGAACAGTCCCACTTCGTCACACCCCACTAACCCGCCTTTTGTCCTATGACTGCAGAGGTGTTAATGGGCCACTCCACCTTGAATGCTCCCTTTGAATATGTGACAGGTTTCAGAGTAACATTCATGTTAGTCTGTATTCGCAAAAAGAAAAGGAGGACTTGTGGCACCTTAGAGACTAACCAATTTATTTGAGCATAAGCGTTTGTGAGCTACAGCTCACTTCATCAGATAGTGAGGTGTAGCTCACAAAGGCTCATGCTCAAATAAATTGGTTAGTCTCTAAGGTGCCACAAGTCCTCCTGTTCTTTTTGAATATGTGCTAACTCTTTACACTAAACAATCCATTCCCCCTTGCATTTAGCTGTGATGGGAGAATCTTTCCCAGACCTGCTCTTTGTGGCTGGAAAGCTTGGCTCTCTCTCCCCAGTAGGAGCTGGTCCAATAAAAGATATTCCCTCCCGCACCGTGTCTTGTAAAGAAATAGGTTGTTGTCCCCACAATTAGGGTGATTAACAGCTGGCTTAGGGCTCCTGCTTGGAGAGGGACAGCGCCGCACTGCACATCCCAGAACTGCTAAGGGCTTGTGTCAAGGGCCCCCAGTGTGGGTGCCGTGAATGGGACGGAGCTCCAGTGAGATCCCCATTGACTGGAGGTGACGACCCAGTTATGCTTCTGGGAACATCCTCCCTTGTAAATCCTCCCTGCAGCTAATGCCCCTGGCACTGGAGCTTGGAGAGCCTGCCTGGGAGCCAGCCAAGCAGCTCTGGCTGGGAGAGGGGCCTCTGCCAGAGCAGGGACTTGTCATTCAGGGGCTTATGGCTCTTCCCCACCCCCTTCACCCCGGCCTGCCCCCAGCTCATTGCATTTGGGAAGGATGCTGACGGGAGACGGCGCAAGCCCTGCCGGTACTGCTGAGCGCTGTGCTTGGACCGACGGCGTCGTAGAGGCACAGCTCGAAAACGCATCCCCTAAAAGTTCAAAGCAAAGGAGGCCGATTCAAGAAAAGCTGGGGTGTGGAGTTTGGCAAAAACAGCCTGCCTTTGGAAAGCGTGGGGCTGGGAGCGCTGCGCTAGTGGGGGCCGAACGCCAGAGCCCCAGAGCCGTGCCTTCTTGGGGCCGGTAGCAGGCAGTGGTGCAGAGAATGTGCCCGATCTGTCTGGTCCTCCTCTGCCCTGTACCGTGGTATCTGGACAAATTGGAGGATTGGGCCAAAAGAAATCTGATGAGGTTCAACAAGGACAAGTGCAGGGTCCTGAACTTAGGACGGTAGAATCCCATGCACCGCTACAGACTAGGGACCGAATGGCTCGGCAGCAGTTCTGCAGAAAAGGACCTAGGGGTGACAGTGGATGAGAAGCTGGATATGAGTCAACAGTGTGCCCTTGTTGCCAAGAAGGCCAATGGCATTTTGGGATGTATAAGTAGGGGCATAGTGAGCAGATCGAGGGACGTGATCGTCCCCCTCTATTCGACATTGGTGAGGCCTCATCTGGAGTACTGTGTCCAGTTTTGGGCCCCACACTACAAGAAGGATGTGGATAAATTGGAGAGAGTCCAGCGGAGGGCAACAAAAATGATTAGGGGTCTAGAACACGTGACTTATGAGGAGAGGCTGAGGGAGCTGGGATTGTTTAGTCTGCGGAAGAGAAGAATGAGGGGGGATTTGATAGCTGCTTTCAACTACCTGAAAGGGGGTTCCAAAGAGGATGGCTCTAGACTGTTCTCAATGGTAGCAGATGACAGAACGAGGAGTAATGGTCTCAAGTTGCAGTGGGGGAGGTTTAGATTGGATATTAGGAAAAACTTTTTCACTAGGAGGGTGGTGAAACACTGGAATGCGTTACCTAGGGAGGTGGTAGAATCTCCTTCCTTAGAGGTTTTTAAGGTCAGGCTTGACAAAGCCCTGGCTGGGATGATTTAACTGGGAATTGGTCCTGCTTCGAGCAGGGGGTTGGACTAGATGACCTTCTGGGGTCCCTTCCAACCCTGATATTCTATGATTCTATGATTCTATGATCTGGGCTCCTTCAAGTCTCTAGTGTGTTTCTCCTCACAGGTAAGGCGGGGCAATTATCCCCTGGTGCAAATGAGAACAGAGGCACAGAAACTAAGTGACCCAACCAAGGTCACACTTGGAATCTGGCAAAGTCAGGAGTGGAAGCCAGGGCTCCCAGGTCCCAGCCCAGCGCTGGCCCACCCCTCCTTGGCTCCCTCTCTGTGAGACTCCTCTTAATCCCCCCCCTTGGCTCCCTCCCCCTCAGCTTTCTGGAGAAGAAAGTCCTGGATGTGGAAGGCAAACACAAGGAGGAGCTGCAAGGGATCAAAGCCGAGAAGCTGGAGATGCAGGGCCTGCTGTCCAGGCAAACCCAGCTCATCCAAGAACTGGAGCAGCACCTCGCCACAGCCTCAGCCAACAACACGGTGCTGCAGAGACAGCAGGCATCTCTCATGGACACAGTGCACCAGCTCCTGAGCCTTGTTTCTCAGTGCAACCGTCAGTACTGTGGGGTGTGGTGGGGGAGGGCTGGGAGTGGCTGCTTGGGAGTCGGGCCCAAGCAATGGCCCAGCTCACTTGGTGCAAGACTGGGGGAGTGCTGGGGGAGCTGCTCCCCAATTCTCAAGCTGCCCCACCACACTTTAATTTGAGCAGCCTAGGGGCTGCTCTAAATTGGAGGGTTGGCTCTGCTCCCTGTGGGACCCTGGGCATAGCCTTATCACCACCAGGCCCCATCCCTTCCCAGCATGCCCCCATGCTGGGGTTGGAGGGCTGGCATAGGAGCCGGCTGGGCTGGGTTTACACCTGTTGAGAATTCCCTCCTCCTGTGGGTTCCCAGCAGATTCTAGGCCATTGGCTCTACTCCGGCGGCTGGAGCAGGGGCCGGTGTCAGGGTGGCATGGCTCAGAGCCACAAGTGGTGCAGGGCTGGGGGGGTTCTCAGGGAGCGGGGACGGTGGGGTCAGTCCCCCCGGGCAGCGTCTGGAATTGAAGCAGCTGGGGGAAGAGCTGAGTGTCCCCTTGTCCGCTCCACCCAGAAATCTCCCCGGCCCCCAAGGTGGAGCAGAAGGTGTTCCGGGACTGCGGGGCCGCGTACAAATTGGGCCTCACTGCCAGCGGAGTCTACACACTGCACTTACCCAACTCCACAGCCACCACCAGGGTAAGTCTCCGAGCCCAGCAGCCTGCCAACCGAGCCAGGCCCCTCCGGCCCCATGCCCTGGCAGACTTGGCCCAGGGTCTGGGATGTGCGAGCACATGGCTGCTGGCAGAGCCCCCGCCTTGAAGTAGCTTATTTATACCCACTAGGAGGGGCCAGTGGCAGAGGGCGGGGCGTGGGGTAAAGCAGAGAGGGGCTGGGAGTCTGGTTTCTGGTCCCACCTCTGAGGGGATTGGGGGGTGGCTAGTGCCCGGAGCAGAGCAATGGGATTCTGGTTCTTTCCTCAGCTCTGCCACTGCTTCACTGTCTGGCCTTGGGCAAATCACTTCAGCTCTGCCCCTCCACATATCCGTCTGCAAATGGGGTCTGCTAGCTGGCTGGCAGGGGGGTTGACGAGTGCGGGCAAAGCGCGCCGAGCACCTGGGGGGTGATGTGCCGGAGAGGGGCTGAGCATTAGTCTTCCTGAGATGCAGACGAGTGTCCCCGGCCCTGAAAAATGGCGCTTGTCAAACCAAAACAACCCCCGCCTGTCACCACCCCTCCACCCACCCCACTGGCCCACTCTGCCTCTCACGGACGCCACAGTGGGGATGGTTACTAGCGTGCTTAGCCACAAGGCCAAGGCCAGGCCTGGGGATCACAGCCTAGCCCCTGCTTTGGACGTGGGGCCCTCGCGCTCGCAGCTAGTCTCCGGCAGGCGCGGGCCACACCGGTTCGTGGGACGGTGCTGTATGTGTCCAGCCGCGGCCATGCTGTCCCGTTCACAGGCGTTCTGCGACATGGAGACCAGCGGGGGAGGCTGGACTGTCATCCAGCACCGGAAGGACGGCTCCATGGACTTCCACCGCACCTGGAAGGAATACAAACACGTAAGGCTTCCCTGTCCTGTCGGCAGCCAGCGCTGCCCCAGTGAGGCTGTGGTGTTGGACCCCCGGCATTTCCTCACACCGGGGCAGGAAGAGCTTCCCGTGCAGGCTAGGAATAGCCAACCGCTCCCAAGGGCGAAGGGCCCTCGCTTCCCTGCCTGGAGCCCCCGGTGGCCCTACACACGTGGGAAGGAAGAGGAGGAGCAGAGGTTACTACCTTATTGTTCAGGGCATGTGGTGAAGGCCTTCGCTCTGGGTACACGGGAGGCTGCAAACACGAACCCAGTGATGGGGGAAGGGATGGAGAGCGGATGCATCGCAAGGAGGGAACTGAGGTTGCCTCCCTGCTGTAGGGTCAGGGTAGTTTTCACATGTGTGTGTGTGTGGGGGGGGGGATACAGAGCCTGTCCGATAAACTGCAGGGCGCCAGCCCAGACCCTTTCCCTACCCCCCTCACTTACCTGTGCTGCAGACCCAGTGCCGGGAGGACCCCGCTGTGAAAAGGGGATAGGAGTAGTGCACAGCCACACCGGGGTGTTGTGATGTAAAGATGGGGAGGTGCTCAGACACTGTGGTAACGGGGCACAGAAGTACCGCCGACAGAGAGGCCATGACCCGGAGATTCTGTGCCACCAGCATTCCTGAATCAAAGCAGGCCAGGCCCTGCTTTCCATGGACGGCCCAGGGTCCAAGGGGATGTCACACATAGATGCCCAAATTGCTAACTGGTCAAGGGAGGGAGGGTTCTCCCTCAGATACCAGGGAGTGGCCCCTCTGCTGGGAGTTGGTTGCTTGTGTTGTATGGAAGGGAACATCAGGATCCATATCCTTGGTGTTTGGAAAGACCCCAGCTGCTCCAAGTGAGCTCCAGATTGTAGGGTTTCTTCCATGTGGCGGGACAGTTTTAGAAGATGATATCTCAGCCAGTCCCTCCGGCCTGCCCACTGAAGTCAGCAGAGACGCACCGCGCGTGGATTTGGCTCTGTGAGCCCCCATGGGCAAGTGGAGACATGGCGAAGTGTCTGGCGCACTGACACTGTCCGCCATTTGAAACACTCCTGCGGAAAAGCTCTCTGTGCAGATGCTGGAGAAAGATCTCAGATCCTGGCTGTGGTTTCAGCTCATTCACATGTGAGTCATGGTTGGCCTTTTGTAGCCTGAGTCTCGCGCTGTAATGTCAGGGAGGGGAGCTATCTGGGCACAGCAGGGCTAACCAAGGCAGTTGACTTGTGGCCTCTCCAGAGAGGTTACTGGTCAATGATCCATTGTCTGGATTCATTCAGAATTCCAGAGACCAGCACAGAGCTCCCTGGACCACGCACACTGTTGTGGGGCTGGTAGAGCGAATGACGTGTTGCAAAACCTGCTTCCTTCCGTGTTCCTCCTTTCAGCCCATCTTGGGCACCTCCTGGCCTTTGCCCGGCTGCACTGAACACGGCGGTGCCATGGGAAGCCATTCTAACCAGATCCAGATGCCAGAGCCTGAGGCGTCCCAGAGGCCCAGAAGTGGGATCTTAATCCACACAGTGATGTTCTAGTTACAAAGCTACCATTGTACATACACTTCCCCCAGAGCAGAGCAGAGCTGGCCCCTTCGGCCACACAAATCACAAAGCAGGAACCTGGGGACTCTGCTTTCTCTGGCAGCAGCCATGAAGCACGAAGCCAGGTGGGCCCCCCTGCTGCCGGCTGGTTCTTGGCAGCCTCCTCCTGCTTCATTGGGTTTCTGATCTTTCCATGCAGGGCTTTGGGTCCCCATCTGGAGAATACTGGCTGGGAAATGACTTCATCCACCGGCTCACCGCTCAGGGCTCCTATTCCCTCCGAATCCAGCTTCGGGACTGGGACAGCAACGAGGCCTACTCCCTCTACGGGTATTTCCACCTGGGCAGCGAGGAGCAGCTCTATCGGTGAGTCTCGCTTCGCCCAGCTTGCTGCAGACGGGCGTAGCGATTTGTGCGCAAAGGATGACCCCGCCCCGCCCATGATGGCAATCAAGCCCTTGCCAAATCCACTAGACCCACCTGGTCCTGGAGAGCCAGGATCAGCCTCTGGGTCTCCTGAACGGGGGGTTAATCCCCACTCACTCATCCCACACAGCAGAGTCCAGAGAGATTTCATGGGTACAGCACGTGGCATGGAGAATCTCCTGCCTTTCCCACACCGCAACAGAAGCTTCTCTTGCATTGTACATGGGCCAGCTGCTGCCTCAGCACCCCCTTGTGGCCTGAGGTTGCTCTGCAGGTGCCCTGCCTCAGTTTCCCCACTTCTCAGGACTCTGTCAATCAAGCTCTTCTCTCATTCAGTATCCCTTCCCCCTGAGGGCTAGATTTATTAACATCAAAGCATTCCCAAAATATAGTTCTCAAAACTGCAGCAAATCCAGACACATAGGCTTTCCTGCTGGGGCCTCTCAGGCCTTCCCTGCCCAGAGCCTTTCCCTGAAGATGCAGCGTTCCCTGTTGGAGCCTGCTCCCTCCCGCCAGCCATTCCCTGCCATGGCAGGCCTCTGCTGAAGTCTCACTCCAGCTTTACTCTTCTTGTCTCTCCCTGTACATCCCCCTTTCTCTGCAGCTTCCTGCTGCTCTTTGGAGGAGAATCAGCTCTTCCATGCTCAGCTGTTTCTACCAATTAAACCCCACCCCGATCCCAGGTGACGTGGGGGAGGAACAGGAAACCTCATCCGAGGTGCGGCAGGCAGGGCTAACTCTATGGGGCTGGCCAGCTCCAGGTCTCTGGACTTCAAAGGGGCAGCTCCCCCTCCGCTCCCCCCACCCTCGGTACAGGCACTTTCTGTCCCAAGACGCTTCCGCCACATGCATTGCACCATGCTCTGGAGCCCACCAGTGACGTTTCGGCTCCATCCCGATGCTCCTGTTCCTGGGGAAGCCAGCCTGGAGCACCCCCAGCTCGGAGTTCCTTCTGCAAAGTCTCGTTGGGATTTGGTCCTCCCTCCCTCCCATTTTCACTCCCTTTAGCTTTAACCCCTCCAGCTGTCAGAGCCTCTGATCAGATGCTGACTCAGTAACTGGTTGCTAGGAAGGAACGTGATCCCATGAAGTGCCTTATCCTGCTCTCTCTACTGGGCACGTTGCCGTGCTCATGAGTAGAGCGGGGACTGAGCCTAGATTCCCCACACGGCAGAGCATGCCCCGCCCCACATGCTGTCCACATTGTACGTCTGAGCCCGGCTTTTTGGGAACAGCCTATGGCCAACCTGGAAGACAGAGCAGGCTCCTTCCATGCCAAGCAGTGCCAACAACCCCACCTTTATCCACCATCCAAGTCAGCTCAGAATTGGCTCCTTTACCAGGCACCTGGGGCGGGGCCCCCTCCTAGCTGGGCTGCAGTAACCCACGGGCTCTGCTTCGCACATGGCAGCAGTATGGTGATACGGGTTGCTGTGCCATACAACGCCAGCGTGACCGCACAGAGAGCTACTGGGCACTGCGGCCGCGCTGGCCCAGTCCTGGCCATGGTCAGCGGAAACGCATGATTCTGTGCTCCAGAGACTCCAGGCAGCTCCAGCACCAAAAGAACTGAGTCCATTGGCCCCACGGTGGTAACGCGGGTGGAGTCAAACATGTACAGACAGGGCCTGTTGCTGGGGAGAGCTTTCCCAATGAGGTGAGTCAATACAGGACTCGCAGCCCGGGCCTGGAGTTTGGCAAAGACCCCCCAGGTATGTCTGACAGGAGGACACAATTCCATGAAACCTTTTCAAGAGTCTCACGCACTTCCTCCCAGTTCACTGAATGCAAATATGTTTTACAGTGAGCGTCCTGCTGCCTCCAGGGTGGCCTGCACTCTGCAAACGAAAGAGGCTAAGCACATGCCCTTTGCTAAAACCTAATGGAACCTCGGCCTCAGAGCTTTGAGAGCTGCTTTAAATCCAGAAGCCATGATTTTCCAGTGGGTTCTGTGCTTGGCAGGCTAACCCTGCTCTCCTGAGTTTCAGGTCTCTAAGACGAAGGGCAGAAATCTTAGTCTGTGCCAGATCTACAGCCTGTGGAAATCAGTGGGAGTCTCTCCAGTGGCTGCACTGGGCTTTGGTTCTAATTGATCCCTCCAGTGAACACAAATCATGGTTATCGGAATGGCCACCGCAGCTCCACACCCCGCTAATGAATGGGGATTGGGGTTGCTGGCAGGAGACCAGGCTCGTTCTCCATTTGTCTGATCTAACAGCTTTTCCCCAAGCACTGAGAATTTGGCTCTGGGAGTCCAAACCTGGTGAGACACACAGACAGCTTTTTCAGGAATTTTAGAGGCGTTTTTACCCTGGATGTTGGGGCAGCTTTGGGCTATGCTGTGAAATTCTATCTGCAAACACCTAAGAGTCCTCACTACCCAGTTTGCTTTTCATCACCCTGGCATGGCAGCTTGTGTACATGGTTTGCCCTGATGCTGTCTTTGTTTTGTGCCATGGGAAGCAGGGCTTTTGACGAGTCCTTCTTGGCAATTGGCCTCAGCAAAACACAAGGTCATGGGTAACAACCCACATCCAGCAGCTGACACAGCTCCATGGCAGGTCCTTCACTCGACTCCTCGCATTCCATCCAGCTCCAGACAGGCTGGCCAATGACAGCATCAAAAGCAAGGCCAGCGGGTCCCTTTCCAAGCCCAGCACCCCAGAATAGCCGTTACCACCCACGCAGCTCGGATCACTCAGAGGCAGCACTGTGGGTTCTTACGCTGTTATTCCGTAGCTGGCCCATGAGCAAGAAGGGGTCACTGTCCATCCGAGTGCCCCATCCGTGGTCTCCAGGGCTAGACACAGCCGCGAGAGCTCCTTGGCTGCAGCAGCTGGAAGTGCAGGGGTGCACGCTTTTGAAAACCCAAAGCCACTGTTGCATCTTGCTTTTGGAGCCCGGGGTGGCTGGAACTGTGCAGTGGGGGCCCTGCGTTTCTCCCTGACCGAGCCGTTGGTCCAAACACAGTTGCAGCAGCAGGGGGCGCTCGGCTTCACAGCTGCAGCAAGTCCCAACTCCTTGATGCCTGCCGGCAATAATATTTGTGTCTGTGCATGTCCAGGGCGGGAAGCTGGTTCTCTTGCCTGTAAAGCCACCAGCTGCCTCAGCTAGTCAGGACACCAGGAGAACAATAGACCCTGCGGGCCCGAGTGCCAAGCTAAATAACCCCTGTCTCAGGCTGCATGTTTTTGTGTGAGACAGAAGCCAAACAAACATCGTCTGTGTAGAGTAGGCAGCCTTCCCTGAGAACGGGCAGTGACCGCACACGGCAAATTGCTGAGGGGACAATACTGGCAACTGCTTTGGAAACTCCTATTCTCGCCCACACGCACGGCTCCAGGGCCCTGGGGACATCTGGCATGACTCCAACCACCCACCTTTCCCCCGTCCCCGAGTCAGTGCCCTCCGGCAGACCCCCCAGGCCATCCCACTCCGGAGAGCCAGCAAAGGAGGCCAAGCACAGCCGGTGCCACAGGCACAGGGTGGGACTGTCTCACAACGTCTGTCCCTTTGTGGATTCTCCTGGGTTGGGAGGGAATGGGGCATTGCCCGCTCTGGTGCTGCTCATGAAGTCATAGCAGCTTTGGACTGTCTCTCTCTGTGTTCAGGCAGCACCCAGCGCAAGGCGGGCATAGAAATGGGCAGTGCGATGGGGCACTCTGCCCCTTGGGGGCAGGACTGCCCACTGGTCGTCCCGTCAGGTGATGCGGCCTTTACGGTTTCAGGTCGTTGGACATACAAGGCCTGAGGAGATATAGGGAGAGAGGAAAAGGGTCCAGGGAAGAAGTAACAGTTAAAAGGGATCCTGTTACTGGGACCTGGAGCCTTGCGGGGGGCAGCGCAGGGCTCCCTTCTCCCCCCAGCCACCAAGGAATGAGTTGGGAGAAGGGGCCAGTGTAAACGCTGCCTCCACCAAGCACAGGGCAGGTGCCTGTAGACACTGGGCAGCTAGAAGGCTCCTGCAGGGCCCTGAGTTAGCAGGGAGAAGACAGCGGCAGGGGAAGGACTGTTTGGTAAAAGCGCCCCACTGGCGGAGAAGCTGGCGAAAACCCTGCGGCTGGCCTGAACCACAGCCCAGCCCCGAGCTGTGGAAATTCCTGCCCTAAGGAGGGAAGCGTGGACAGTTTGGAAGACAGCCTGGTGTGTGCCAGAGAAGCAGAGGACTGGAAGGCTCTGAAGCCTCTGGGGTTTGCTCCCTTTGTGCTGCCCATTTCTAGGCCTGCCTTGTACCGTGCCCACCTGGCCTCCCGCGTCCCTGGTCTCCCGGGGTCTCCCGGCCCCGGCATGGCAGCTCTGGTGGGGACTCGCCAGAGGCGCCTCCTGGACAGCCCTGTGTCTGTGTCTCCCCAGGCTCCACGTGCGGGACTACAGCGGGACGGCCGGCAGGACGAGCAGCCTCAGCCCCCCGGGGACGCCCTTCAGCACCAAGGATGCCGACAACGACCGCTGCGGCTGCAAGTGCGCTCAGATGGCGACCGGAGGTAACTGCCCCCACGGGCACGACGGGGCCCGTGCAGACCCCCGCCGTGGGTGGGCTGGGTGTGGTTCGTAGCGGACTCAGCCCTGAATGACCGTGCAGACGCTGGGAGGCCTGTAATTGGGCCTCTTCTGTTGTGGTCCATCTAACTCTCCCTGCAGGAACTGGCTCCCCCTGGGTCCAGCCGAGTATTCTCCAGGATCCTCGGCCCCTGGGGACACGCTGCACCGGCCGTCTAGCCCCGGGCACATACAAATTATGCTCTGATGCTTTCCTTCCTGGGGCAGCGCTGGGAAGTGACAGCCCCACAGAGAGCCAGTCTGTGCCCCAGCCCCCACCTTCGCCGAGTGGCCGCTGGCTGGGGCTCTGGTGTGCCGTCCCTCTGACCCCCCACCTCTGTGCCCTAGGCTGGTGGTTCGATGCCTGCGGCCCCTCCAACCTGAATGGGATTTACTACCCCGCTAGCCCCGCGACGGTCCGCTACAACGGCATGAAGTGGCACTACTGGAAGGGGCCCAGCCACAGGCTCAAGGCCACCACCCTGATGATCCGGGCTGCGGACTTCTGAGAGGCCCCAGACGGGACGGCGCCCTGGGGCTGGGGCTGGGCCGTCCCTGCAGGGGAGATGGGCCAGGCTGCGGCTGCACCAAGGCTCTGGTGGTGCCGCGTGAACGGCCTCCCGCACGTGGGTCTGGCCCCGAAGGGCGAGCTTGCACAGCGCTGTGGACACCTGCTTAGCCCGGCCTCTGTACGGTGCCTCCTCCCCGCAGCACCAGAGCTCGCTCCCAGGCGCCAGCCATCGAGGATGGGCCTGAGCAGAGGTGGCCCCGTCCCGCTCGTCCAAACGCAGCCTGCGTCTAGGTCTTAATCTCCTCCCGGTTCAGGGGCTGGCTCACAAACATCCTGCTGTTTCCTGGGGAGCTGGGGGCTTGCGATCCTGGTGTCAAGTTGTTCAGATAAAGCATCAGTGGAGAGCTCAGCTGTGCTGGAATGAGTCCCTGGGTGTGAGCTGGGGGACTGATCCCCAGTGGGGAGCGGGGTCTGCAGATAAAATGGGGTGATGGGTTTTCTCTCATGTACTCGCTCTACAGCTCAACCCCCACGTCTACTGCAGACGCGGAACTTCCCCAGAGGCAGGGAGGTGCCGATCCAGGGCTGAGGGTCAGCCCAGCAGAGGCAGGGCCGATAGAAGGCTTGTACCTGGAGCCACTGGGTCTGGCTGCAGGCCCGTCTGCTCCGACTGTAAAGTGCTGTGCGGACCAGGCTGGCTGCAGCCCTCTGAGCCTTCCTTTGGGTCCATCCTTCAGCACTTACTCCCCCAGTCTGGGTGCATCGGAGCTGAGCTGGCCCCAGTGTGCTGCCCTCTGGTCCGCGCTGCTTGGCATGTGGGCAGCGAGGGAGGGGAATGCCCAGCCGCCCCCAGGCTGCAGGGAGGGGTGGGATCTCAGCCCAGAGGAGAGGGTTTGCTCTGAGCACATGCAGCCCCTGAATCCCCACGGCCCCTGGGCTCAGAAACCCCAGAGCGGGGTCTGCTGTGCACACTGGGGCTGGGAGGTGAGGCGCAGGCTGGCGGGGGTTGGCCGAGGAGCTCTGTGCCCTTGCCTGGTGCGGCTGCAGCATCTCACAATGGGCCTGTACGAACAGGAGGGGACAGAGATTCCCAGCCGTAGGTGAGCGCTGGTATCCCCACCTCACAGCCAGGGAACGGCGGGAACCCAGCGGACAAGGGATGTGCCGAGGTCACACAGGGAGGAAGCAGAGGAGCTGGGAAGAGAACCCAGGAGTCCTGACCCCCCGAGGGGCGTGTTCTAAGCTCTTTCTGCCCCTCTGTCACAGTGGCACAGAGTCTCCTCCGAACACGTGGCCAGGCTTTGCCGGCAGGGCCCAGCATCTGGGGCAGTTACAGCCCCACGGAGACGTCACGAAGCCCTGAGGTGCTGCAGCGTGAAGAGGGTCCCTCGTTCGGCTGCTGCTCATTTCCAGCCCTGTGCCCCACCCCGAAGGCAGGCACCGGAAACTGGGCCAGGCTCAGGCAAAGCCCAGGGCTGGATCGTATCGAGGCCCCTGCACCTCAGCGAATGAGGCCCTGGGCTCAGGGTTGTAACAAAATGTGTGTATGGATAGGAGAGCGGGTACGCCATGCGCAGCGCACAGGGGTCTGGGGCCCAGTGAGCAGAGGGGTTTAGCCAGGCGCCCCTGGAAGGCAGGTGGTTTGGATCCTAGCACTGTGGTTTGTTCATGACCCCCAGCCACGATCCATCCTCTCCAAAGCAGCTCTACAGTGGTGATGCCAGGAGACCACTTCCCCCACAGGCACACAAGAGGGAACCCCAGGCTGTGAAGGAGTCAGGGCTGCACTGCGGCCTGGGAGTGCTTTGGAAAGGCAAAGTTATGGTGCTGCTACCCCCTCCCTGGGTCTAAACCCCCCAAACGGCCAGCGCAGCCATGACCCCACCTTCCCAGGGGGGAGGGGCATGCTCAAGAGTTGGCGTGGGGCACCACTCTGGCTGGCACTGAAATGCTAACCCCAAAATTGTCATGTGCCAGCAGCCAACCCCTGCCTCCTGGCCCTTGCTCCCCATCCCAATGAGCACTGTGTTCGTGAGCACTGGGCTGCGCACATGGGTTTGTTACTGTAGGGTTGCTCAGGAGCGCTGGGCTGCACACATGAGTATGTTACTGTAGAGTTGCATATGAGAATCTGAGTGTAGATGCAAATGTGAATTTCCACGCATGCAAAGGTTGTGTGGGAAGATTTTGTGGGTGCATTTCAAAGGCCTCTTATCCACTCCAGGGGGTTAGTTTCCCTGCCTTGGCAGCTGCTGTCAGGCCAGCTTTTTAATTATCCATGTGGCTGGTGCTGGCTTCTTCAAGGGCACCTCTGAGCCTCCAGGGCCCTTGTCATACTCAGCAGGGAGAGGTGAGAGCTGAGCTAGGGCAGGCGCTGATGGCCAATCTGGGCTATAGCGAGGCCTCTCGGCTCAGTGCCTGGGGAAGGAGCCAGGCCATGTGCACAGGGCAGTTGCTGGCCTGTGGGAAAAGCAGTCCCTTTACTGTCCCAGGTAAAAGCTTATCCGAAAAGAACCTAGCATTAAAATTAGCCTGCTAACGCTCTCTGGACTCAGCAAAAGAGGTTCTCCTATTTAAATTCCATTGCAACATTAGCCAATTTGAAAAATGTTGTAGCCAATCTAGTTTGTTAGATTTCAGCTTTAAAATCTAATTGGCCCACTGGCAAATTCATAAAAGAGCCCCACATCAACATTGATAGCTGTGGCTTATGCTGGGCATTTCTGACCTCATAGTGTGCCACGTTAGGACAGCGGCCTTTGCCTAGAATCCCACCATGTGCAGCAATTTCATCGCTACTATTATTAATTAAATTGTAACGGGCTTCGTCTCCCCCGGTGGCTGGGCTGCAAGGGGTTGTGGTGCGCGAGAGAGGCTGAGGGAATGGGAAACTGAAAAAAGGGTTCTTATGGCTGGTGGTGCTGTCCAACACCAGCTCCAGGGGATTCACGGCACAGCCTGAGCCAGAGAGGATGCTGCTCCAGAGGCAGCGTCTGCTGTTACCATCCTGTCTACACATCAGACAGTTCCCTGCCTCCCCAGCCCAGCTCCCCAGGAGCTGTGAGCACTGCCCTAGTAGTAACATCTGGCCACCAATCAGTGCCCCGCAGCCAGCTGATGTTGGATAGGGGAGGAGGGCAAATTGTTGGATATGAGCTGTAGGGTGCTGGGGAGTTCACTGGACGCACCTCAGCTTCCATAAGCTCTGATACAAACAGCCCCCAAGCCCGGCGCAGGGGGACGTGATAGGCCAAGGGGGCGAGTGAGCAAGGGAAACCCACTCCCCATGGTGCCACCTGGAGGCTAAGTACCCAGGCATGCTCCCCCCTCCACCCGTCACACCAACTGTGCCCAACCCAGCTGCTGCCAGGGGCTGCTGGAGCCGATATGTAAGTGAGCCCTGCCCTCTGCTGGCCTCGCGTTGCAGGGAAGCCATGCCAATCCGGCCGGATACACGCTATCGAGATGCCCAAGGCACGAGGCCTGGTGCTCATCTCCCCCGGCGCCAGGCAGGATGACCCGGCTGGACTCCGTGCACTCACTCCAGCGTCAAACGGGCGTGAGACCAGAACCAGGCCAGGGGTCCCCCGTCCAGCTGGGGTTTCCAATCCAAGTGAGAAGTGCTGCCAGGATTCCTTACAACTCTTCCCTCCAGCCCCCGATCTCAGCCTCCCCCCGGCTGCTGGCGCATGTCCTGCTCTCGTCTGCCTGTCCCCGGAGAGCAGGATCCGGCGTAGCAGGGACCCAAGGGAAGCAGCGGGCCTGGGCTCCTGGCGCTCAGCAGCGTAGGCCCCTCCGGCAGCACAGATTGCGGGCACGCGCCCAGCCCAGCCTGCTTGTGAAGGGCGCCAGGGCTCAGTAAGCGCTGACGCAGGCCCGCTCAGCAAGGTCTGTGCCACAGGGTGCCTATGGCAGCAGCTGGACCCAGCCTGGCTCAGCTCTGAATCCAAAGCAGGGGGTCAGGCCCAAGGTTCCCTCTGATTTTTGACAGGCCGTGTGCCCAAAAAGATTCTTCTGTGCAAATTTTTGTGCTTCTGTGTGCGCGGGGTTTAGGATCTGTGTGGGGCGTGCTCAGAGGGAACAGCGGCCAGGCCCCGGGGTCTCCTCTCAGACCGGCCTGCTCACCCAGGGCACAGCCCTGGGGCCTGATCCCGAAGAGCTGGGGGCAGGGCTGGGCTCTGCTAGGGGGTCACAGAAGCCCCTTCCTGGCTCCCCAGCCAGTCCGAGTCCTGGCCTGGCTGAAAGGCGGCATGTGGTGCCCTGGGGCTGGGGGCTCAGCCTGGCGCAGGGAAGGCACCAGCATCGCGGGGCCACCGCCAGGCTCGTCCCCCCGGTGCGGGGCCGCCCCGGCTCCCCTCCGCCCCAGCCGGGAGCGAGCTCCGCGTCACGCTCCTCCCCGGCACCGCCTCCCTCCTCCGGGCTTCCGGGCACGCTGGGGATCCTCGCTCCGCAGCCGCCATCGCCGCCCGCAGCGAGCCCCGCGCGGCCGGTGACTGACCCCGCGGGGCGGCGAGCTGGGCGCACGCGGGGGCCGCTGGCGGGGCCCGGAGCGCGGAGCGCCCGGCTCTGGCCCCGTGCGCCCGGGGCGAGGGGCGGTTCGCCGGCCCCCCGTGCAGGGACGGGCTGCTGCGGGGGGCCAGACGCGCACGGGGGGGCAGGATCGGGGCTGCCGGACCTTCCCCAGTCGCCCCCTTTCCAGGTCCCAGGGGCTGCTCCCTGGCGGGGGGGTTCCCCGGTCCCTGGCTGGGGGGGGGTCCCCCGTTCCTGCCAAGTGTGGTTAATTGACGGGGCCGGGGGGCTCCGGTGGCGGCATGGCCGGCAGCTGATGCACATCTGGTGCCATGGATCTGGGGTTGTTCTCGCAGCACCGACCTGGGACGCTCCCCAGGCGGGCACATGCCGCGCGGATCGTGACCAGTAATTCTCTGCCTGCGGGGCTGGTAAACGACATGGAGAGCGCAGCCTGTGGGAAGCCCCAGACAGTGGCCTGTGGCAGCAGGATTTATGGGGATCTCTCCGAGTGGGGAACTTGGTCCGGAGGCGCTCAGCCTCGCCGGGACCAGCTGCGAGTCCAGCCCTCGCCCCGGCTGTGCCAGGGCCCCTGGGCTGGTGCTGTCCGGTGCTATCGATGGGTGTGTTCTCTCCTCAGCCGGTGCCCTGTGCTGGATGCTGAGCGCCATGTGCTGGCCCGGTGCTGCGGCCCTGCTGCTCTGGGCAGGGCTGGGCCTGGCCCAGGACTACCCATTCCGGGACCCCACCCTGCCCTGGGAGCAGCGGCTGGACGACCTCATCGGGCGGCTCACCCTGGGGGAGCTGGTGCTGCAGGTACAGAGAGGGTCTCTGCAGCCAGCACAGCAACCCCACTGACAGCTGCATCCCCTCTGCGGGGCAGTGACAGCCTCTGTCCTC